CTTCCATTGTATACTTTTAGCTCCTTTATCGAAAATGAGGTGTTCATAGGTTTTTGGGATAAAATCCGGGTCTTCTATACGATTCCATTGGTCGACTTCTCTGTTTTTATGCCAGTACCACACTGTTTTTATTACTGTAGCTCTGTAATAGAGTTTGAAGTCAGGGAAGGTAATGCCTCCAGAAGATCCTTTATTGTATAGGATTGTTTTGGCTATCCTGGGTTTTTTGTTTTTCCATATAAAGTTGAGTATTGTCCTCTCCAGATCTGTGAAGAATTTTGATGGGATCTTGATGGGGATTGCATTGAATCTATAACTTTCCTTTAGTAGAATTGCCTATATTTAGAAATTTTAATTCACATAAAATAGGCAGATCATTTCAAACTCAGTGGTACATGTGGTGGACTACCGCTTTAACCCCAGATCTTCCCATGTTATTGGTTTATCATGGAAACAGTCTTAGATGAAATGATTTATGTTATTATTGTGTTTGGGAATGAGAAAAAAGAAACAGCATTTGTTTATCTAAAAGAGTGACAGGAGATAAATTTCACATGTCAGGTTGTGGATACATGAAGCAAGAGTATTGGTGTTTGTGTTGCAAGATCCAAGGGTAATGCATGTAAAGTGAGTGGGGACTCAATTGTTTTGCCCAGTCACCTGCTTCTGGGTCTCAGTTTCTTCACACTAGAACTAGTCCATGAACAGGAGACAAGGTGGTTAGGGCTTGGTCTGCCTCAGCGTCTGATCACGTCATCACCTATTGAATATTCTGGGTACCATTTATCCTATTTCAGTTTATTTTCCAGCTTTGCAGAAAAATAAAAATATCCAGTGTATACTATTGCTTGTCGTCTTTCTGGTTTTGATATTGATTGCAATAGGATGAAGGTAAATTCTCTATTTATATGGAGTCAGAAAATATTTCTTCTTTCCAAAGGTCATATTATGAGGAATTAATCTTCTAAATGGTAATGGAGATAAGACACATGAGTAGTACTGCATTTTGTGGAGTAGCCCCAAAATCTCTCGCGAAATGCTGGACCTGGGCTAAGTGGACTCACTTGTGTCTCTCTCAGTGTTGGCTTTCAAGTGGTAAAGCTGGTCCTCGGAAATGACATGACCAAAGTGAAGAGTTATCTAATCTGGGATGAAGTTTTTATTCAGCTATTGTACACAGAATAATGAGTTGTGTGATAAAGGGATAATTTAATAGATTTTTAAATTTTCAATTTTATTGGATAAAGACATGAGAGAAAACATAATATTTGTCTTTCTATCTCCCATTGTCCTCTCTGGTCCATTGTCTTTAAATAATTTTATCTGATAAAATATGTTATATAATAGGTTCACTTATTGAAAATCAAAATTCTGCCTATGAAAGAAAGCAACTATGTTTATCTGAGTCTGGTTTGTGTGCTTAATATGGCAATCACAGTTTCATCTATTTTCCTGCAAGTGACATACTTTATTCCTTCTTTATGGCCCAATAAAATTCCACTGTGTATATTATATATACCACGTCCTCTTCAATTCATCACTTTAGGTGTGCAAGTATTTCTGTGGAATGCTGACTCAAGTTAACCACCACTTTTCTTCTGCTGTGGCTGCTGAGTCTGGGTCTTTGGCTCTGTCTCCTTTCATCACCTGATTTAGGTGAATATTCAGAAGGATGCCTATATGTTTTTCTTTGGGTTCACCTTCTTATATAGCTTCTCTAGGATGGCGAATTATAGGCACAATGTCCTTTATTTATGGCTAGAAACCAAATATGAGTGAGTACATCCCATGTTCCTCTTTTTGGGTCTGGCTTGCCTGACTCACTATAGTGTTTTCTATTTCCATCCATTTGTATGCAAATTTCAAGAAGTCCTTGTTTTTTACTGCTGAGTAGTACTCTAATATGTATGTATTCCATACTTTCTTCATCCATTCTTCCATTCAAGGGCATCTAGGTTGTTTCCAGGTTCTGTCTATTACAAATAATGCTGCTAAGAACAGAGTTGAGCATATACTTTTGTTGTATGATAGGGCATCTCTTGGGTATATTCCTAAGAGTAGTATTGCTGTGTCCAGGGGTAGGTTGATCCCTATTTTCCTGAGAAACCGCCACACTGTTTCCAGAGTGGTTGCACAAGTTTGCATTCCCACCAGCAATGGATGAGTGTACCCCTTTCTCCACAACCTCTCCAGCAAAGGCTATCATTGGTGTTTTTGATTTTAGCCATTCTGACAGGTGTAAGATGGCATCTTCAAGTTGTCTTGATTTGCATTTCCCTGATAGCTAAGGAAGTTGAGCATGCCCTTAAGTGTCTTTTGGCCATTTGAACTTCTTCTGTTGTGAATTCTCTGTGGTAGTATACATAAGTGACCCCAAAAACTCTACCAACGAACTCCTACAGCTGATAAACACCTTTAGTAATGTCGCAGGATACAAGATCAACTCCAAAAAATCAGTGGCCTTCCTATACACTAAGCATAAGGAAGTAGAGAGGGAAATCAGAGAAGCATCACCTTTCATGATAGCCACAAATAGCATAAAATATCTTGGGGTAACTCTGACCAAGGAAATGAAAGATCTATTTGACAAGAACTTTAAGTCTTTGAAGAAAGAAATTGAAGAGGACACCAGAAAATGGAAGGATCTCCCTTGCTCTTGGATTGGGAGGATCAACATAGTAAAAATGGCAATTCTACCAAAAGCAATTTATAGATTCAATGCAGAAACTGAGAACCAGAAGCAGGTTACTGGGCAAATTAGTGGAGTCACCACTGCGTCTGTATTTATTTGCCGTTGATCCTGCAACACCAGAAACACTGCTATTGCTTCAAGTAGTTCTAGAAGTTGATGTGTGAAATTCATTTCGTGTCATTCTTCTGAATAAGCAGATACTGTTTCTTTTTTCCTTCTCAAGACACAATAATAATAGAAATCATCACATCTAAAACTTGTTCCATGTTCAAACAATAGCATGGAAAGAGATGAAGTTAAAGCAGTAGTTTGCATGCAGCAGAGAGTTTTATTCAATATGTTTATTCAATATGAATTAGTATTCCTAAATATAATACTAAATCATGATAGAGTCATTTTTTTAAATAAATTTTCTTTTTAGAATCTTTTAATCATAGTAAATCATGCAATCTATTTATTGGCTAAGTCAACATTTGTTACACTAGGAAGCATTAGCCCCCTACTTTCTTGGATGATTATTTGGTCACTATGAACCCTTTGTTTTATATTTGTATGTGGATGCAGTGTGTGCATGATTTGTTCATGAGCATGTGTGTAAGTGTGGATGCACACATGCCTCAGCATGGAGATCATAGGACACCTCAGGAACCTTGCTCCTTAACTTCCACGTTGGTCAAGGCAGATTGCTTGCTGTTTACTCCTGAGTATGCCAGACTAGTTCATTCACAAGCACCCATATCTGTCTCCTATTCCACTATAGAGACATTGGCTCATTCCAGACACAGGTCACCTACCATACAGGCTTTACATGGATTTCAGGGATCTTAACTCAAATCCTATAATTACACATCAAGCATTTTACCCACTAGACCATCTCCTCAGCACATGAAGCCTCCTCTGAATCAGACATTCCTTGAAACAATCAGAACAACCCTTTGAACTTTCTCCTAGACAAATATATATTTTCTTTGTCATGATTATGCTTAGTCATGACGTTATAGTGAGAGCACTGTGCAATAATAAGGGCAGTGTAGTAATGTAGTGCTTAGATGTAGAATGATTAACCACTGCTGAAAATCATACACCAAAGGTACAAACAGAACCTTAGGACTCATTATGTCTTTCACCTGTTATGCAACCATGACTATATTTTTCAATATAGTCAAAAATGCATAAGTCTATTTCATTTAATGTGTGGCCTTACTCAGAGTTATTCATAGAAGCGGAAATGGGAAGCACTTCATGGTTGTAAATTTTGGAGTACTTATATAGGATTTGAAATGTTCGTGTTAAATATCACAAAAAAATATAAGTGGTGCATATAGATTTCACATGAATAAAATATAGAACTAGGGATTTTAATGCATTTCTTTCAAAGAGCAGGAAATATGTTAGCATCCACATTGTCACATGGTTATATGGGTATGAAAAACCAGGAAGACTGAAATTTTTAAGCATTCATTGTTTATAAAACCTCAGAGTGTGGTTGCTTTGTGTATGTCCTATGTGCTTTCCAATCATTTTAAGAAAATTTTATTGCTTTCATCTCTAAGAAGATTGCTTTACAAGCAACTAAGAAATGATATGAGCAGGAGAAATAGTATTCTGGAAGTGTACTCTAATTCCTATGCTATATTAAGTGGTCAGTCCCCAAAGCATAAATATATATATTTGTGAATCCATAATAAGATTATAAGCTTCTGTAAATCCAAATGAAGATCACAATACTGAACAACAGGGCTGGAGAGATGGTTCAGAAGTTAGGAGAAATTTCTTCTTTTCCAGAGGACCTGGATTTGATTCCTAGCACACACAAGTTGATTCATAACCATCTGTAATTTCAGTTCTAAGGAACAAATAACCTCTTTGACCTCCCGAAGCACCAGATATTCATGTTGTACACAAAAATATGATGTGGGAGTGATTTCTTTCTAATATGTTGCTTTCATTGGTTAATTAATAAAGAAACTGCCTAGGCCCATTTGATAGGCCAACCCTTAAGTGGGTGGAGAAAACAGAACAGAATGCTAGGAGAAATAAGCTGAGTCAGTGAGTCGCCATGATTCTCCCACTCCAGACAGACGCAGGATAAGATCTTCCCTGGTAAGACACCTCATGGTGTTACAGGGATATTAGAAATGGGTTAGATTAATATGTAAGAGCTAGCCAATAAGAGGCTGGAACTAATGGGCCAGGCAGTGTTTAAAAGAATACAGTTTCCATGTAATTATTTTGGGTAAAGCTAGCTGGGTGGCGGGACACAGCCTGCCGCTCCTATTACAACAAAAATACATGCAAACAAGCACACTTACACATAAAATAAAAATTATTTTATTTTTAAAAAATTATATTGAGCAACATTAAATAATATTTAATACAGAAAAGATAATGGTATATTAAAATGTGTTCAATTCTCCCTTAAAATATTATATTCCTGATCAATTTTGCAAGCCCTGAGAAAAAGCCTTTGGTTGTCACTTTAATCAATTATTCAAATGCAAGGAAAAAAAATATTTTCTGTGGTACATAAAAATTCTGTGGGAAATAATTTGTAAAATTCCTAAAGAAAGCACCACAAACCTAGATTTGCTATTTAATGTCAACCACTATTTATGAAGTTAGACTGTGAGAATGGAAGTATTAAGAAAATTAAAACTGGTACGGGAAGTACAGATTTGGTATGTTGAAACTTATAAGATCGTTAATATAACTTCATTGAAGAAAAATTATATGGGGACTGTTGATACTACCTATATTCCAAGATCACATGGTACCAAGCAGGCATATCTTCTCAGTGTGGGATATAAAGAATAATAAAACTACCTATTGGGGTATCCTGTTGTTACTAATAGTTGCCTCTTTACTTGGTTTCTACTTACCAAAGACTATGTCAATTAGCCTGTGTTACATAGTATTTCAGATGTATTCATGGGAAAACCTGAGGCTTCCTAGTCTAACATTGTTTTTGACATTGTTACACTCTAAATTTTGAGGAATTCATAGACCACATTCCATCAATGCACCATAAATCTTAAAAGTATTTTATATTTATTAAAATTAAAGTTGGTTTTGTTTTTTGTTTCCTTTAAAACATAATGCTAGGAATAACTCTCTGATGTGTCATTGAACTAAATATGTGAAAATCTCCTTTTGTCTGTAAGATGTAATTATCTTTTTAAAAAAAAGAAAAGAAGAAAAAAATAAAACTAGGAAAAAATCCAACCTTGGCGTCATTTCTAGGTAGAGTTATGGTCAACTCCCTCCTCTTGAAGTCTCCCATCCTGACTTTTAGTGATCCTACGAGGCTGATTCTCATGTCACCTCTTTAACCTATCTCAGGAATGCCCCACTCACCAGTTCCAATACTTTAACGCTAAGCAGGTAGAGAGAGCCTGAGAATTGTCGGACAACCTTCACATGTGTGTCTCATGTTCCTGATTGAGAATCACAGAATGTGTGCAGGGTTTTCTTGTTGACTCAGGTCTAAAGGACCACTGACTCATAGACAACTACTAAGAGTCATTCTCTGGTCTGGAAACACCACCTACCCCAAGTCTGAAATGTTTGTAAAATACAAATCATCATCTCCAAACACCAACCACAGACTTCCAACAAAACCAGCTTTGTGTCATAATATCTCATTTTTTAAAGTATCTTTTGAGGAGAAAACATTATATTTATTTCAATGAAAATTAAATTCCCTTTCTTCAAGATCATTAGCTGGAGCTTCAGTTGAATGTGACTGTTACCAAGCAGCCTAGGTTGACCGGAAATGAGGCATCCACCAAACAGCATCTGAATCATATCACCAATATTACTGTCCACACACAATAACTTCAGGCAGTCATGACTAGGTCTCCATATTAATATTCCTCAGAATATGGATATTCAGGGTGGTCAGAAAAACTAAAAGAGGAAATAAAAGCAAACACACAGTTTGATGTATTTCCACAATGTAAGTTGTGACATCTAGGAAAGCACTATCAAAGTGAAAGTTCAACATTTTGTTCCCTGATCAGTTGCAGAAGGGGATATTCTTGCAGTTATTTACAAACATGTATAAGAAATGTTTTAAAAATATAATTCATGCACTTTTCATAAGTTATGTCCACCTGCCTACACTAGAACACCCAAAGACCAATGTTCATTAATATTTATCTCCCTTAGCTTCATTTATGCATCAATCAATGAAGAGTCAAAATCCTTCCCAACTTCAGTCTCCAAAGAAAGGAGAAAAGTATAAGTCACCTTTAGTTCAAGGTAACTCTACACATTGATCAACACAGAAATATGTTAATGTGCCTTAAAACATCATTTATGCCTAATACTTTCACTTCCATTTAATTAATAGTAATGCGTTAATTATTCACTCGTTGCCCATTAAGTAAAAAGGAATGTATTAAACTCAGTTAGGGAAAGAATGTCCTTCATAAAGTAGACATCCATTGTCCAAGGAGATAACTATATAATTTGTAAAATTCTACATAAAAATAATAATCCAAAATAAGCATTGATAAAACCATTAATTGATAAGGTGTGGCAAGAAATATTCATTACTCCCTATGAAGAAACTTTCACATGTCTTACTTCCTGCCCTAGCGCCAGAGCCTGAAAAGGTGAACCCACTGGGGCTGGCTGGGGGAAAAGAGGAAGATTTGTTCCAGAAGGAACTGTCTGAGGGATTGAGTTTTTATAGAGAGGAAAGAATTGTCAAGTGATAAGAGATAAAAGGTGGCTTGTCTTCCCAGGTCTGAAGAAAGGAGGAGCTTGTGAATGGAATGCAGATCTCCAAGAACAAAGATCTCTATTTCCTCGATAATTTGGAGTTGTGTGTCATCATTCTCTTAATAAAATTGTTTCTTTGCAAAAAAAAAAAAAAAGAAATATTCATTACTTACAATAACTCATCACTGAGTTTTATCTCTCCTTTGCCTTCATACTACTCTATACTAACAAAAATCTTAATAATGATAACATATATACCAATTTTACATAGCATTGTAGATTTTCTAATCCTCCTTCAAACATTGTTATATTTATTTCTATTGAGAATTAAAATTATAACAAGCAGAAAATGTAGATAGATGACAAACAGGCATGCAGATAGATAAAAAACAAAAAGATAGATCGATAGATGAATATGCACATTTATATATACATGCAGGTTTCATTTATAATACAGCCTATACCCAGTATCAAATTTTGTAACCATTGATCATAAAGAGAAACTAAAGATCTTTTGGTGGATATTAACTCTCCAATACAATAGAGTTTTTCCTAAAGTTTCTTTTTTTAGTTTAGAATATGATTTCCAAAACCTTCTCTATGTTTTACAATGACACATCCACATTTTCAAAAACTCAGAAACAAATATTGCTCTATCTCCGTGGGAAACTTGTTACAGATGAATAGGACATTTGGTTTCTGAACCATCAAGAATGGAAAAGCAGGGGAGAGACTTGGTCCTGAAACTAACTGAGGTGAGGTGTTTAACATTACTTACGACTCAGTTGAAATATATCGAAAATTTTTGTTCAGGCCATCTAGGGTTTTCATATCCTCAGGAGACAACTGGAATTCAAAAACCTTTCAGAAAAACACAAAGGTTTTAAAATTTGAATGAACCAGATTTTTGTCTGAAAGGTAATGTGAGTAGTACTTATGCCTCTGAAAATAATGAACATTGTTTACCAAAACATTCATGATTAATAAATACCAAGTGAAATGAAGGAAAATTGCTTTTGAGATATATTAAAATTGCACAATGCCACAGATGAGAGGAATCCCAAAGGCTCTTTGAGGGAGGAAAAAAAACAGTTAATATACATAGTTTCCAAGAAATTTAGAACAAAATTTCAAAATACATGACACAAAACAGTGATTGGCATGGGAAGTTACGTTTTGGTAATCTATCAATGAATAATTAAAATGTAAAAAATTGCTCTTTTCAACATTATGTAAGTCAAGATTTACCTAAATTCTAATTATAACATGTTCATATAAGGACAAAAGAGCTGACTTTAAAAAGAATCTTATTTTAATTTGAGACATTTTAACTTCAAAATGATTTTTCACTAACAGTTCACATCTTAAACACATGCAGGGCGAGATCTCAAAAAAGTGCACAGAGATTTGAAGGAAGCAAGCATATGGAAGATACTATGTAACAATCCTAAGGAGCAAAGCTCATCACCTGCAAATTCTCTTTCATCTCATTTTCTTTGAAACTCTGGGCCAGGGGCACAACCCCACGCTGAAGAAGGTATCGAAGAGCAATCAGGGCGGGACTTCGATTGTTCTTTTTGGCCACATCACAAAGAACTGGATCGTGCAAGAGAACTGGAGAGTTCTGATCCACCCTAGTAGGAAAGTAGAAATAAGCTCAAGAGGCCAAGGTTATTGGTTTGTTGTGGCAAAGCACAGTAGAGGATGTATTTTAGACTAGACGTGACGGTTATATATAATTATCAACTGGACAAAGTCCGGAATCACCTGAAACATGGGCTTCTAGAATGCCTGTGAGCGTTTATCTTATGAAAATTAATGTGGGAAAAGCCATTCTAATTGTTGATGTGACCATGAAGACACCATGAAGCAAGCTGCCAGGTCAGACATGCTGAATCTTTCCCAGTAAGACTGATGCTACACAGATTATTAGAGATGGGTTGATCAGGATATGAGAATTAGCCTGTAAGGGCTAGAGTTAATGGGCCAAGCAGTGTTTAAAATAATACAGTTTGTGTATTGTTATTTCGGGGCATAAGCTAGCCAGGCGGCCAGGAGCTGGAGCGGCAGGAACACAGCCCGCAGCTCCTACTACAGAAATAATCTACCCTCTTGAGCTTATTTCTCATTCTGTTGTTAGATCTGCGGGCCTACTTTTCATCCCGCCTGGCTTATGCCCCGAAATAACAACATACAAACTGTATTCTTTTAAACACTGCTTGGCCCATTATATCTAGCCTCTTCTCGGCTAACTCTTGCACTTGGACTAGCCCATTTCTAATAGTGTGTGTAGCACCCCAAGGTGCACTTACAGGGAAGATTCTAGCCTATGTCCATCCTGGGTTGGAGCTTCATTGCGTGTGTCTACCCGGGAGAGAGGAGCATGGCCTCTGTCTGAGGCGTCTACCTCACTTCCTCTTCCTCCCAGCATTCTGGACTGTATAAATGGAGACAATGATCAGATTATTAGTGGTCATTTCTCAATCTCTGCTTCTTGATTGCAATGTGAAGGAACCACCTGCTTCCATCTCCTGACTTCCTGCTCTTATGCTTTGCACCCTAGAATTGTGATTCATAATCAGCCCTTTCTCCCAGAGGTTGCTCTTGGCCAAGTATTCTATCAAAGCAACAGAAAAGGAAATCAAGATGTCAGGGCTACACAGAAGTCCCTGAGCCACAAACTTCTGCTTCACATGGTTCTTTTAAAGTTCCCTCTCTCCCTGAGAACTGAGTGCCATGATGCTAAATGACAGTCGTGCTTCACGCATACTCTTCATCTTCTTACCATTCCTTATATCGTTGGGTTCCCAGGGCACCAAAAGCAACCAGAACAATGTCTTTTGATTTGCAGTAATCCAGTAGCTTACTCTGATTTAAATAAATATGACATTCAACCTATGGAAGAATATGAGAGAAAGACATCAGATTATATCAAATGCTCATATTATGACAAACGAAAACTTAAAGCCAACAAAGTAGGCTAAGAAAATCATATGCGATATCACATTTGAATTTAAAAGATCAAACTGTTGCAATTTATTTTTGAAAGACAAATGAACTAATTTTGGAAGATTCTGTTAATATAATTTGCCTTGGCTAGCTTTTGTTTCAAAATCATACTTAGTGGTCAGCAAGGCAGTTAAGTGAGTAAGGATACCAGCTGTTAACTTAATAAAATCATGAGGAAGGAATGTAATAATATGGTAAGCAGCATTTAAACTGCACATAAGTGTTGACCACTGGCTGTTTTTTTTTTATTTAAACTCACTCTTTCAGCAAAATATCCCAAGCCCACTCATTATTCTCAGTTAGAGTAGAAGATTAATTTTCCTTGTGCTTAACTTCTGCCTGTTAGACCAACTCAGAAATTATACATTCTCACAAATACTTTAATAGTTCCAGTTTAAATTTAGAATCACTCGTGTCTTTTGAAACAATGGTACTGTTCTCAGAATCTTCTTTTCCACAAAATGAAAATCACTCGGGCAGAGGACAAATGAACAAGTGTTAGTCGTTCAGAGTGAAGAAAAGCATGAGAGATGGGGAGGAATGAGAATCCTTACCTGATTGCAGACAGGCTTGTACTTAAGCCCTGGCTTATTCAGGATTCTCTCTAACTGCTTGTGGTTAAAGTTGGACACTCCAATAGACTTGACCAATCCTGCATCCTTACACTTCTCCAGTGCCTGGTGATGAGAAAGGGGTTATAAAGTGTCATACTTGCAATTCACTACATCAGTATAATGAGAAGTTGGAGCAGTTTAAAAGAAAACTGTCTAGAGCTAGACATATAGTTCAGTATTAGAACACTTGCCAGTATGCATAAGACCCTAAGTTTGAGATAACAGACACTATAAAACAAAAAAAAAAGGTGTGGAGGGGTATATTGCCCAGATTATCAGAGGACTTAAATATGAAGAAGCAAAGGTAAAGATGAAAATGAAGAATAAGATGTCAGCCAAGAAGGTTCTATGATTTCTTTTGAAAATTGAGGATGCTACTACATAAGATATGTATGCATGTAAATGAATTTCTATACATAGGGGAAAGTGAGTTGATTCTCTCTCCCGCTGATTGATTTATTCTTCTTTTGAAAAGTACTCACCTCCCATGTGGCACAGAAATCCACCGTGTCCAATAGTAATTTCCCTTGTTCATCTACTGGAAAATCATTATCCCCTGGCTGGAAGAGAAGTGTTTTTAGAGAAATCTCACAAAAACATGTGTCTCACCTGTAGTAATGCTTTTAAGAATATTTTGAAGGACCTGGAGAGATAGATCGGTGAGTAAGCAATGGCTTCTTGTTGTAGAATATTATTTTAAAGTGTGTGTGTGTGTGTGTGTGTGTGTGTGTGCGTGTGTGTTACATTTGCTTGTGCTGTGTAGAATTTTTTTGCTGATGTAAAGATGTGTTAATTTTTTATGCTACATTGTTTAACTCTGTGAAGCTATAATTCTTTGCCTATCTAAAACACCTGGTGGTCTAATAAATAGCTGAATGACCAATAGCGAAGCAGGAGAAAGGATAGGCAGGTCTGTCAGTCAGAGAGTATTAATAGAAGGATCAAGGGTGAAGGGAGCAAGACAGAACAAGGATAGGAGGACGCTAGGGGTCAGGCACATAGCCACTCTGCCTGTCACGGTGGAAGATTGAAAGGAAGATTATAGAAATAAGACCAGGAGAAAACCCAGGGGGGGGGAGGTGGGTTAGGGAGAGAGGGGCAGTTAAAAGCTGGCTAGAAACAAGCTACAGTAAGGCCAGGAATTCATAAGTAATAATAAGGCTCCATGTGTGTGTGATTTATTTGGGAGCTGGGTGGCAGGCCCCCCAAAAGAGCCCCAAGAGTCAAAGTGTAAAAAAACCACCACCACAAAAACAATAACAGCTCTCTTTCGAAGGACCTGGGTTCAATTCCAAGCACCTACATGATGGTCACAATTATTTGTAACTAAGTCCCATGTGGCCCAATGCTCTCCACAGAAACCAGTACACAGACATACACACAAGCAAAATAGCAATACACATTAAATAAATATTTTTTTAAAATGTAAAGAACAACTTGGAAATAAGAGAGTAAGCAGCCATAAAGTGAGGCATGATCCTATACAGTATGTTTACAAAGTGATACACAGGTAGAGTTGTAAAAATGATCTTTAGGAGCCTAGTTTTGCATTGTTCTCTTATGTCAATTATATGAATAAATAAATATTTTCTTATAATAATTTTATTTTTGAAATTAAAATATAATCACATTGATTCCCTCCTTCCGTTTCCTCACTCCTGTGCCTCCCACGTATAAACTTGTTGTCTTTCAAATTCATGGCCTCTTTTGCTTTCATTGTTGCCACACACATATACATGTATACAGACACATACACACACACACACACACACACACATGTACATATTATTCCTGCACCTAGATAATATTTCCAAACACCAAACTGAGCTCTCCTAGCTGACTTGTATTCTTTTATCTACTCCTTTTCTTGTAAAAGAGGAAAATGTTTCATATTCACTGGGAAGCCCAGTCATTGCATGGCCTTGAACACCAGCAAGAATTTATATAAATTCTTTCTCAGGATAAATAATAAATATGAATGTATGTGGATTCAAGGGCAGGCATGTGAGCCAAGGAATGCCAATCAGGACTTTGTGCAAGATTGTTTGTGATAAGAAAAGATGCGGAGAAGCTATAAAATGTCAATGACCCTGAAGCTGAAACTCTCTTGGGGACATCCTTACCACCAAGGGAGAAATAGAGACAAGACTTGGGCAAACATCCAGTAACAAAATTAAATTTAATGATGTGTAAATGCAAGATTTTCTGGAAGTTATTTCTAATCTCTGACTCTGAAATTTTCTTTGACACCTCATTTCAAAATCTTATAAACCCTCTGTGGAACCTTTTCAGAAGTTTAATAAAATAAATTTATATGAAATTATAATGAAAACTCGTCTCAACCATCCATAAACATGAAATAAATGTCTCCATAAAAATGTGTACATTTGACAATACAAATCACTTACCTTCAATGGTACTGGGTAATGTATAAGGTAAAGATCAACATAGTCCAGTTGAAGTCTTTTTAGTGATTTTTCCAAACTAGGCCGGACCAGCTCTGGCCGAAAGCAAGTACACCAAAGCTACAAAAGTTGAAGATTAGAAGTTTTGATCAATCAATAGATTGCTCAAACATGCATACTTATTTATTCTAATACTACAATATTTTTTGTACTTGAAGGAAAGTTATAATCATTCCATTTAATCCACTATTTACTTAAGTCATACTTAATAATGTGAACTCCCTTATATATTCTTTGTAATTGTTAACTCATTGAACAATGAAAGGAAATTATTCAAGAAATAAAACACATACCACTAACAACATTCAAAAACTAAATTATAGAGATTATAATCTAATAGTAATTTCTCTCACCCATTTATTCAACTGACACCTTTAGCCAACTTCTGATCAAGTAAAATAATTTTCACGTCTTTAAATTTCACTAATTTGCACACATGCATGCTATAAAAACTCTACCTTTGTAGTGATGAACAAGTCTTCTCTCTTTACAACGCCAGCTTTAATCTTGCTTTGAATGGCCTGCCCTATCTCCTCTTCCACGTGATATATATAAGCAGTATCAATATGGCGGAGCCCAGCACCTATAGCTAGGTTGGCAGCCTCCAGTGACTTGCTTATAGGAACCTAGAAGAACAGCCCAAAGAGGTATTTAGAGATGCACATTCTGAAAGCTCGTTCAGAGTGAGCCTAGATGGGAGTTTACTAGACTGGAATAAGTTAGGTCTTTCAAAGTCACCCTTAGACCACTAGGCAAGAGCCTAGTACCCTGATCCTTGAACTCTCACTTTTATTCTATAAAGCATAAGGGATTCTACAGAAATATTGTATATGTCACGGAAAACCAAGACTCTCCACAGACTCATTGTCTGCCTATATTTGTCCCACATTTAAGACAAAGAGCCAAAATCTACTTTCTTGGGGTCTTTCCTGATTAATAGCAAGATTTTCATATCCAAAAAAAATTTATATCTATGTAGTCCTAGTTACGTACTGGCTCTCATAAATTCCAAGCTCATACTGGTTTCAAATGTTTGCTTAGAAGTCACACTCAATTTACGTAGTGGGGGTTACTAAGCAAAATAAACAAAAAGAAGTCTGCTTGGGACAAAGCTCAATTACATAGACAATCTTTCTTGACTCCAGCTAAGACACTGTCACATAATCGTGAGAGCAAAGATCTCAGATACCACACAACACCAAGTTAGTAATAGGGATTTGAACAGAGAACAGTATCCTATGTTAGTCTTTATATATATCCATTTTCTTTGTCTGCGAGAACTAAATACAGGCAGAGAAAAAAACCCTAATCAAGGAATATATCCTCCTTAAAATAAATTGTGAACATCATATTGGAGATTATTCATTTGGGGTGTCAGCCCTTTCAAACAAAGATAACTTGCTTAACAAAGATATGATTGAAATTAAATCTAAGAGTATTGCCTTGACTGTGAGTTTTGGATAAAGATATGACAGCTTTATTAAAGAATGTAAGGTGTGGACTGAGAAGATGTCTCAACCAATAAAGTGTTTGCTAATAAGTCTCAGGATCTTAGTTCAGACCCCAGCCCTCACGTAAAAGGAGAATATGGCACAGTGGCACACACGTGTAGACAGAGTGCTTGGGGAAACAAAGTCAGGGTGATCCGTGGAGCTCACTGGACTGCAAGTCAAGGTAAATCCCTGAGTTCCAGATACAGTGGGACAGCCTACCTCACAAAAATAAAGTGAGAGCAGTTTAGTCAGACTTTTACCTCTGGCGTAAACACACGTGTGCACAAAAGCACAAACATGTGTAGTCATACAACACATGCAAAGGGGGTAAGAAGAAAAACACTACATTTTTGATTATTTAGCAATTTCTACAGTTATCTTTCACAATAAACCACAGTGACTGAAATTCTGCCTAGTACCACCTTCTCTGGATACCAGCTCTGACATAGTTAAAAGTAACATCACTCTGGGAGTTACCAACATTAAAGTTTTTTACAGGACCCTTGACCTGTTGCTGCCTTTCTTTTTTATTGCTACCTTGATAAGTAACCAATCCTGTATATATCTCCAGATTTATCCATGTAAATATGCATAAATCTAATGGGAAGGAAATGTGAAAATCTGAAGTTAAGGGAAGTGGTCCTTTGTCACAGAATTTAAGAGATTCAGAAAGTTTACAAACAAGAAAGTCCCTTCAGATTAAGAAACAGTACACCTTGAAGTTTTCCATTCTAGAAAACTTCATGCTCTAAACTCAACATTCATTAATGAAGACCAGTATGGTTACCAGGTCCTCCTTCCCCCAATCATAAGGATATATTATAAATTCCAGTAAGTTTCCTACAGTTCAGAGTTTGTTATGGGGGGATTTATTTAGCTCTAGTGCAGCACTCGCTGTGTGGTGTAGAAGGCTACCCCAAAACAAAACTGAAGTAGTCTTCAAACACTTGTATCATGCATTACTACAGGGAGACATCCTGAGTTACCACACTGATTTTCATAGATTTTGCCTTCTTGAAAGGAAATATCATGCTGTGGGTTGTAGATATAAACAGAGAAGTCCCTCTCACTGCATCCAAGAATGCTGATAGGCAATCTGGTGACGTTCTTCTCTTCTCTCAAGTTGAGAGACAAAGACATAGGAAAACCATAGTGCCCAGAATTGTTAAATCATGGATTTGTCCCTTTAAGCTTGGAGCTCACAGCCAGAAGATCCATTTCAAGTTCACTCTTGGAGCTGGCAGGCACCAAACCAGAACAGTGAACTCACAAGCAGGTCTGGGCCACAAGAGCAAATCTGAGAAAAAAGACTCGGCCACATTCTGCTAAGACCAGAGAGACTAGTCTCCAGCAAGAATAACTAGGAAACATTAACAATCTCCCTATCCCTAGAGACTGAGTTATAGTAATTGCCTGAGTTACAATTATGGTCCCTGTAGCTCCATCATATACAATACTAACACCCATGCTCAGAGAAAATGTTTGAAGAGTTAAACTTTCCTTTGTTCTACATAAAGCAGGCATCATTGCTGGCTTACCAGGAACAGGGCAAGCATGAATAAAGACCCTATTCTGAAAATTCTGACTCAGCCTATCTAGGGAAACAGATTAGTCTCCTACCCACAGCCACCAATTCCAGCCACTGCTGTAACCTCTATTTAACAGGAATAATAAACAAGTGTGGTCTCAATAAAACCCTGATGTAGGCCAAGCCTAACTATCTGCCTTCTTGTACATGGACTTGCTCTGGCCTGGAAATACGTGGAATCTTATATCCTTACCTCTTGAGGTTTATAAGTGCCAAAACCCAGGGCAGGAATGAAGTGGCCATCGTTTAGTTTGACAAACTGCTGTTTGGAACTCATGTCCTGTCACTCCTCTGCCTACGAATGTCTTGAATCTTCTTATGCCTTGAAGGGGAAGTTGGCAACCATCCTATATCAGCTTCCTATCTATAGGCTAACAAGTGGCACTCCCATTCTTCTGGTTAACCATTCTTACTTAGTGGCTAGTGTTTAACTCATTCTATACCCTAGTTAATGATTAATTAGTGCTACTGTCTGGCTAATGGTTAAATAATATTGCTCAATGCCTATTGTGTACTACTAGTATTGCCTGTCTAATAGTCAGTCAACAGAAAGGATGCAGTAAAGTAAATCATTATATCACATGTAAGAAGGGAAGCCACTCATTTTCATATAAAGGATGAATTTTAAACAAATTGCTATATACTGATAAAGTATTTGTTTCCTGTAATGTTCTCTTTATTAATTTGTGTATTATATATGATATATTATTGCATATATTATATATTTGAGGAGAAGAGATTGATTGAATAATTATAATACTTCAGACATTTATTGCCATTTGATCATTATGAAGCCTCTACTTGGCTTTTTATCCTTGAAAATAATAAGCTAGCACTTAACATAGAAACATATTCAAAGAAAAAAGATGCCACAATTGGACATTTTAAAAATTTTGATACTCCACAATTATATTTATTTAATAACTAAAATACAAAAGCTTAGTCTTTTTAATTTTTTTCCTGTATTTTTCCATTGTTTTTGTCCCAAGTACAATCTTGAAATAAATAAAGGGGACAACACAGAACAGTGCTTAGTGGTTGATAAACCATTGACAACTACTGGGTATTATTTTATAACAAGCAAAGGGACTTAGATATTACAACAGAACTCATTTATTAGATAATTTTAAAATATTTGTGTATACGTGCTAGGAATGTGTTGCCAGATACAGTTTGTTCATTCTCAGCTGCTCTGACCCAAAATAATCTCACAGAAATCATATTATTTACATTAGAAATATTTCTTAAGACCAGCCTCTGTTCTGACACAAATAATTTCAATCAGACCAAATCAAACTAAATAAAAGATGCCCATGTTTAATTACTGCAGTGATCCCAGGAGGCCCAGGAAAGCATGGTTAGGGGAAGACAGAGATGGGGGAGACCACGAGAAACCTGGGACCACCTGCTTCTTCTCTGGGCAGAAGTGTAATAGTCTGTGAGAGTGGTCCTGACCCTCCCTGGGAGAGATCAGCACTTGGCAGACTTTTCCAGAGTTGGAGTTTGAAACAAGGCAACTCCCAGGGGTGAAGGTTGAAATGGAGTTTCCTGCTCCATTCCTGCTCCATTGGCACTCCAAGGATGGGTGCTAGGGGCTGGGGTGATGCTTTCACCCAGATAATTTGCAATACTGTTTGGCCAATAACTTAAGCATTTTTCTCATTAGTTCTTATATCCTAAAATAACCCATCTCCATTTATCCGTGCACAAGGTCAAGGTCTACTTTGAAAGTTTCAGCGGGCACCAGTGGAAGCATCTGTCTCTGGCTACATGGCTTCTCATTGACTCCACCTTCTTTTTCTATTTATCTTTTCTAGCCTGGCTATATTCTGTTAAACCATTTGCCGATAGCAGCTTTTTTATTAACCAGTGGTATACAGAGGAGATTCCTACATCAGGTGTACAAGAAGAGAATGTTTGATCACTTGGGAATTGTAGTTACCAGCAGGCATGGGAAATCTAGCTTGTTATATGAATGTGGTATATAATTCTGAAGGCATAAGTCACAAATAACCCCACACCAGTTTGGAATTATGATTACTAGAATGGTTATTTATTTAAGGGGGAAAAACTTACAGATCACCCGTCCCAGACAACAGCCCTCTGTGCAATCAGGAAAGGAGCCTAGTCGCCTGAAGCGGAGCTGGAAGCCAGAGAGTGAGCAGAGGGCTGTGGCTGTTTTTTAGAGAGAGAGACCACACCCCAACGGGCTGGTATCTCAGCGGCTATTGGCTGAAGGAGTGGAAGGAGCTCCCGCAACACAATTCTGACGCCATGACTTCAGAGCAACCACTCTTAACCACTGAGCTTACTATTCAGTCCCTGATTTTTATATAACTATAAATAAGATGTTAAAATGCAAATCAATGTGTTAGATTCATAGCTTCATTCAACATTCATAAAAGAACTCACCTGAAAATAATGAAATTGATATGAGTATTGGACAGGGAGAATAAAGTTAAAGAATTGAAGATATGTATTTTTAATTCTATTTCACTAAAGTAAAACATGAGAGTAGAATATGTGATATTTTTAATATAATGTGGTCATATAATGTTTATTATAAGCAAGTAAAGGCTAAAGTTTATAAAACTTCATTCTTCTGAAAGAAACAGTCATGGGGATTAATAATTTTCCTGTATGCTTTCTAATCTAGAATCAATGTCTATCAAGTTGGCATTCAAAAAAGAAGTGTTTTCTAAGAAATAAAAAAGAAGGGTTGAAGAGATGGCTCTGCTGTTAAGAGTATCAGCTCCATTTCCAGGTGACAAAGGTTTTATTTCAGGAACTACAAAATTAGGTAGCTCCAGGAGGCTCTGATGCCCTCTTCTGTTCTCCTTGAGCACTACATGCATGTAGTGGATAAACACTTATATAGACAAAATATCCATGCACATGAAGTGAATAGTGTTTTTAAAGATATAGAAAACAGTATCGGCTATATTTCATTTGTGTCTAGTTTTCATTGCACAGAAACAGAGATTGACCAATGCAACTGAAAGAGCCTGTGGTTCATTCTACTGATTGCTTAGTATATTACATTTGTTTACATGTGTGTCACATGTTTATACCTTCATCTGCTGATGAAAATTTTAGCTCCTTCCCCTTGCTGAACTCATGAAACTCCTTTTTAATGTTATCATACTTTATTTTTACTGTCTGGAGAATGTGTGTGTGGTACAAGAGAATACCGGGTGGGACAGAAACCCCAACAAGCAGGCCCACATGTTAGATGTGTGTGTATACATATGTATTAGTGTGGAAGTCTGTGTGGAGAGCCCTCATGTCCTAGAGAACCCAATATTAACTGTCATAACTGAAAGCTAAAAATTCCAGACCAAGTAATTCTATGCTACCATACAATGTGGCATGTATAATAGTCTGCTCTGTCCCTGTAAGAGACAAGCCACTCCCACTCCCTCCCTCTTACCTCATTCATTGAGGCAAACTGATCTTCAGCTTCCAGCCTGAGTTCTTCCTCTTTTCCATCTCCCCCTGAAGAGGCAGCTTCTGCCTCGCTCCATTCTCCCCTCCCCGCCTCTGTCTTTCTTTCTCTCTGTTCTTCCCCCTTTTCCCCTTATCCCTTCTCCCCTTTCCCATCCATAAATAAATAAATATCCAACTAATAAATATCCAACCTCACTTTGCATGGCATACCTATCTGTCTGTCTCTCGCCTGCTGCATGGCTCCCTGCCTGGGACCAACCACCTTTGGAGACCTGTGGCATGGTCTTGTGGCATTCCCATCCATCTGTCTCGCCTTGTGGGACTTACTGCCCCTTATGGCCCACTGCAGCCACTTGGGGAACTGTAACATCCCTACCTGAAACTGGCTGTTCTTGGAACCCACTGCCCACTGCCTGCCTCCACTCAGAGACCTGTGGCATGGTCTCAAAACCTGCTGCCCACTGCCGCTGCTCAGGGACCTGTGGCGTTTCTGCCACTGTGCCTCTCGGGGACCTGTAGAATTTTACTTAATCTATTACATTGGTGCTATGAGACTCAGGAGGGTTTCCTGCTCTGAGCAGCTCTCCCAGGGTCAGGATCTAGAACCGGGCATTTTTTCCACAACAACCACATGTTCCATTTGCCTGAGTAGGATTTCTACATACCCCACTGGCTTCAATTGATGAGTTTCCCCGATTCTGGTCAGCTTAAACATTTCTCTCAACCAGAAATCTTCTGATGTTCCTAGAAAAGGGGGTACAGTCTTTATGGCTATGGTCTAGCCCTTTGACATTCATCTCTGGATGACTTTCCTTAGCAAAAATTGTGTTTGAACAATCTTGGGTCAGTCCTCCCCCAACTGGGGGCCCACAGTCCCTCAGATTTTTTCTTTTTCTTTTCTTTTTTTTTTCCCCTGCCATAAAAGGCCATTCAGAGCAGCCTCTGGCCTCTCTGGCTTCTGAGTCGCCCTGACCATATCCAGTCAGGTTTTAGCACCCCACCTGTAGACAGAGAACACTCTCCTACAGGTCCTGTGGTACTCACCAGTGATTTACACCTTACCTACAGGGGGGAGATGTCTCCCTGTAGGCCTTGTGGTATCACTGTTTTTGTGGGTTTTCAAAGTTTCAGCTATGCATAGCAAGCTATCCATGTCCATCAATCCAGGCTCCTCTGGGATGGATGCCTATTAGAGGCCCTAAAACTCCAGGCATTAATGCCCTACTTCTTCATATCCTACCCTCACTCTGATGGTGTCCCACCTGCTCCAATTTTATGGGAGCTTTCTAACTATTGCCAGTGTACAGGCAAATGGAAGGAGTTTCCTCAAACTGTCCCTGCCACCACTACTGCTGCCAACAAGATTGGCCAGATCCACAAGGTGGCTATTTTCAGTCCCAGCCTTTTACTGCCCACTGTGACTTGTGGCATGGTGGCTCAGAGACAGGGCTGATCACACCTCAATGTCTCTCTTATTATTAAACTTAAAGTCCCTGCAGCTCAAAAATTGTTTCTTTTCCATACAATATTTGACTGCTGCCATTTTGACTGAGGTCAGGCAACCTAACCATCATATTAACTGAGGTCAGGTGACTTCACCATCATCTTAACTGAGTGGCTTTTCCATACAACATGTGACTGTTGCCATTTTGACTGAGGTCAGGTGACCTTACCACAATCTTAACTGAGGGCAGGTAACTTTGCTGCCATCTTGGCCGAGAGCCAGATCAGGTGACCAGGTTCTGCCATCTTTACTATGATATTTTTTGCCTGGTTTCCCAGTGTTAACTCTGTCACATAGATGACCTTACTACCATTATGACTGAGGTCAGGTGATCTTACCGCCATCTTAACTGAGGTCAGGTGACTTTACCACCATCTTAACTGAGAGCCAGGTC